CTTATGTGGTGCTGAGGAATTGAACCCAGGGCCTCATGCATGCGGGGCAAGCACTCTACCACCTTCCCAGCCCTGTTTTGTAATGTTTTTAATCAAACTTAATTACTCTGGGTAATTTAAGAACAATGCTGTTCTGCAAAGCTCTGAAATTGCTGTTGGTTGTATTATTGTAACTGTTTTCTCCCTCTGTCTCTCCCTATTTCTTTCTTTTTCTTCTTCCAGTGCTGGAGGTCAAACCTAGGCCTTTGCAGCAAGAGTTCTATCACCTGTATTAATATTTTATCATTTGACCAGGAATAAGATCTGTCAGTTTATTGTTCACTGTTTTTTGTTTGTTTTTTTTTTGTCGGTCGTGGGACTTGAACTCTGGGCCTGGGCGCTGTCCCTCAGCTCTTCAGCTCAAGGCGAGCGCTCTACCACTTGAGCTACAGCGCCACGTCCGGTTTTCTAGTGGTTTATTAGAGATAGGAGTCTCACGGTCTTTCCTGCCCGGGCTGGCTTTGAACCGCTATCCTCAGATCTCAGCCTCCTGAGTGGCTAGGATTACAGGGGTGAGCCACCAGCACCCGGCTGTTCACTGTTTTTTTAAAGTAGTATCAAAATGAATTGTTACATGATGTCAGGCATTAATCTTGGACAGTTTAGTTTTTAAAGCTTCATTTTCTCATGTATAAAATAATTATTCCTTATGTTCCAGGGCTTTTGTGAAGAATAAAAACTATGCAAAGCAAGTTTAATATCCAGGAAAATGTTTAAGTTGTCTATTAGACACATGTTTTACATGTAGCTATTTTAGCCAGGTGGAAGTAGCTCACACTTGTAATCCTGACTACTAAGGAGGCTAGGATTTGAGGATTGTGGTTTGAATCCAGCCCAGGCAGAAAAGTCCATTAGACTCTATCTCCAAAAGCAAAAAGGAGGTGTGATTCGAGTGTTAGAGTGCAGTCACTTTGGGGTTAGGGCTTCAATATTTACATTCAGTCTGTAACAGAAACCTTTACTTTGCGTTCTTCATTATGGATTCTGTTTACTTTGAGAATATATTGGTTTTTAGTTGGAAGGATTTTTTTAGAATTTCCTCTAAGGTGGGTCTGTTAGCAACAAATTCAGTTTTATCTGCAGAAATTGTTTTAGAAATATGTCTGCTGACTTAGGATATGGGGTTGGAATTCTTTCTTTTTGAGCACTTTGAATGTATGTACTGTTGCCTTTCGCTTATTCCGGTCCCTTTGTAAGGAAGTAATAGGCTGTCTGTCTTTCTCCTTTCAGTATTTTGACTTTGCACTTTCACTGTGATGGCGTATGGATTTCTTCCAATTCATCCCACTTGGAGATATGGCATGGAGGTACACTCCTGTAATGCTAGCATTATGGAAGTTGTAGTAGAAGGATCATCCATGCCTAGACAAAAAATAAGACCCTATCTAAGAAATAATGCAAAACAAAAGAGCTGGAATCATAGTTATAGTGGCAGGACATTTGCCTAGTAATCACATGGCCCTCAGTTCAGATATCCATACTGGCCCCCCAATGAAGAATTAAGGTACATCTTTTAAAATGTTTTTATTGGAATGCAACAGTAGCATAACAGGATTTCATTGTGACGAAGCCTTTAAACAGGCTCACCACTTACACTCCCTTAACTCCTTTTTCCTTCTCTGCTTTTTAAAAGTCTTTGATGGGTTGTTTTTTCTTTCTTGGTATTGTTTTTAATGTATCTAACATGAACTATGTGATTTTTTTTGTTCCTCTTCTATTTTCTTCCTCCACAGTGTAATTCCTATTTTCACTGTATTTGATGTCGGTGACCTGCATCTTGCATATATATTTTTCTAATGTGGAGAGGGGAAGGGAAATAACAAAATGCTGAAATAAGGATACACGTTGACCCATTGTAACAATGAGATGTACAAGACACTACTTAGAATACGAACTTTACAACTTGGGGAGGGAAGGGGGGAATTGGGGGGGTAGGAAGGAATGGAATGCAGGGGAGAAACAAAAGAGGAAGTAACAATGCCTGATAGAAAATATACTCATTAACTTACTTATGGAACTCTAAACTCTCTGTACACCATTTTACAATATATGTAAAACCATTAAAAAAATAAAAAAATAAAAGTCTTTGATGGCTTTTATTTTCTTCACAAGTACATGCAGTGTACTCAATCCTCTTCACTTCTATTACCTCCCCCACCCCAAGTTTACCTTTCACACAGCTATCATCATCATCATCATCATCATCATGTAGTACTGTGAGCTAAACTCAGGGTCTTGTGCTTTCTAGACAGTCTCCATTTGACATTTATGTGATTTGTTATCAGAAGCAGTAGATTCTGTTGAGAAGAATGAATGCTGAATGTGAAATATTCTGGTGCTTATCTCCTATTTGCCATTCTGAACTGCTATGCTGCACACTTGTGATAGTGTGAAAGGGGGAAAAAATCGTCCCTTGACCTTGTACGATCTTATTAAACTATATATTACTGTACCTTACTTTCAAGATGATTGAAAATGCTGGATATGTGGTCACAACAAGTTGATACCTCTGTTACGTTCTCAGAGCTATCCTTTATTTTCCAGCTTTCTACCTGGCTTGCTTTGTCTCCCAGGGTTTCTTGTGCTTCAGAGTCATATTCTTCCATTTCTTTAGAGAAGTTGGGTTCTCTGCGAGGTATAATTATAATTTAAAAGAAGAGGATTAAAAACACAAAAAGCTGGGGGTAGTGGATCCCTGTAATCCCAGCTCAATGGGAAGTGGAAATGTGAGGGTTGTAGTTGGACAACGGTGTGAGCAAAAGTTAACCACACCCTTTTTCAAAACCCAGCAGGACATGGGAGGCTGAGGTGGAAGAATTTCAGTTTATGGCTATCCCTAGGAAAAAGCACAAGGGCCTATCTAAAAAATAAAGCAGAAATGGGTGTGGGCTCTGCTTTAAGTGTTAAAGTGCTTCCCTAGCAAGTGCAAGATCCTGAGTTTAAATCCCAGAATTGCCTGCAAAATTGTGGAGAGAACTCACTAGTTGATTTCACTTTAGCATTAACACTGTAATGAAGGGGCACAGGAGCCTCACTGTATACTAGTATAACCTTGGGAGCCTTTACATATGCTTTGGACCCTTTTTGGGATAGTGTTATTTGTTAAAATTAGAGGTAGTTCTCTTCAAATATTTCTTAGGTAGTTTGATGTACAGCCAGATTTTTGAGATAAACTACTGAGGAAAGGCAGTTTGTGGGCAAGCTGACAAAGTGTAAAGCTGTTAGACTGCACTGTCCTGTCTGTGGGACAGATCAGTTTTTTGCCAGAGAGGTCCTTACGAATACCCATTTTTCTGGACTCCCCCTTTAGGTCTCATCTCCATTGATTAAGAAAGAATATTCTCTACTGTCCTTATAGAAGATTTAACCAAGTGTCTAGAACTTCACTTAGGAGACATCCAGTATAGAGAATGGGTTATTCCCTGTAAGCCAAAGATTATTTTGATAGATTTTCATTGGCTGATTTCTTGGGCTTGTTTGCAAGGCTTTCCTAACTTGTACCTGTACTTGTGCCCAGTCAGGTTAGCCATGGATCCCTTCTTTTTAGTTGTACAAAATAAAATGCATACCATTACAAAGGAAATGAGTTGTATTATATTCTAGCTGTCAAAAAAATTTTTGGTCAGTGGTGGGGCTTGAACTCTGGGCCTGGGCGCTAACCCTCAGCTCTTCAGCTCAAGACAAGTGCTCTATCACTTGAGCCACAGCACCACTTCTGGTTTTCTAGTGATTTATTGGAGACAAGAGTCTCGTGGACTTTCATTGCCTGGGCTGGCTTTGAACCGTGATCCTCAGATCTCAGCCTCCTGAGTAGCTAGGATTACAAGCTTGAGCCACCGGTGCCCAGCTACAGCTGTCAAAAATTTAAAATGTGGGCTGGGAAGGTGGCTCAGTGGTAGAGTGCTTGCCTTGCATGCCTGAGGCCCTAGGTTCGATTCCTCAGCACCACATAAGCAAAAAGCCAGAAGTGGCACTGTGGCTCAAGTGGTAGAGCGCTAACCTTGAGCTGAAGAGCTGAGGGACAGCGCCCAGGCCCAGAGTTCAGGCCCCACGACCGGACCAAAAAAAAAAAAAATAGAATATTGCAAAAATTTAAAATGTGTACAACAGTATATATTTCTTTGTTAATAATATTCAGTGGTAGATTAAATAACTTACCAAAGTTGTAAAGCAATGATAACAATAATTTGAAAACACTTCATAGCTATAACCTGAAGGAACTGGTTTCTGTTGGAAGCAAAGTCACAGATACTGACCCTACTGTAATTTGTTGCTAACCTTTGTAATTAAAAGCAGTGCTGAATTTTAGTTCAGGTTTGTGGGGGGAAAATGTGTAATTTTTCTTGTGGAACTAAAAGGCAGCTGAAAACTGTTTATACCAAGGTTGTATATTAACATATTCTTCATCTTTCTACATGCATGACACAACAAACAAAGATTGTGATTTTTCTATGTTCAGAGCCAGTGGCTCATGCCTGTAATCCTAGCTACTCAGGAGACTGAGATCTGAGAATTGTGGTTCAAAGCCAACTGGGACAAATAGTCCCTGTTAGACTGTTATCTCCAATTAACCACTCAAAAACAGGAAGTGGTGCTGTGGCTCAAGCGCAGAGTGCTAGCCTTGAGCACAAAGAGGTTCAGGGACAGCACCCAAGCCCTGTGTTCAAACCTCACAACTGACCAAAAAAAGTTTATGTGGTTACATATTTTCAAAGCTCTTTCTTTTAGTAATATATATTAATTGTACAGAGTAATGGTGTTTATTATGATGTTTTCACATACTGCATGTAATGCATGTAAAGTGTTCAGTCATATTTACCTGTTCGGATAAACTAAAACTCATGTTGGAATAATCTTGTCATTAACTGACAATAGTAGCAGGTTTTTGTTTTTATTTCAGAATATTAGCTAGATAGTCCTTTGAATCCCCAAATGCTAATTAAAATGGTTTGCTGTTACAGGAATACAAGCGCAAGTTAGCCAGAGTTTCCCTGGTACGAAAAGAACTGAGGTCTCGGATCCAGAGCCTGCCAGATTTATCTCGATTGCCAAATGTCACTGGCAGTCACATGCACCTGCCCTTTGCTGGAGACATCTACAGTGAAGACTGAGGACCAGTCTCTTTCCAGGACCCAGAACTTTGAAAGAGATGAAGACAGATTAGGTGGATAGTTCTGTAAGCATTATTTTTGTATATTGTTGAGAGAGTGGTACTAACAAAGAAATGACAAGTAATTTATAAAATTGTTAAAATGTTGGTTTGTTTACTATTTTACTAGTAAGTTAATGTGACTAGGCTAAATAAGGTGATGATCCCTGTGTATCAGTAACTCACAAATAGTGATTATTTTCAGAAGACCTTTTTGTAAATTTTTTTGATCCAGGTCCTTGTGAGAGATTCCATGTTTCTATTTCTTCATGTATTTTCAGTTGCTTTTCTTTTTCTTTCTTTTTTTTTCCAGTATCTAATCACTGTATACTATCTAATTCTAAAGGGGAAGAACGAATCAGGATCTGGTTGACTTTATTATGGTACAGTTTAAGACTTGACTGTAGAAGGGATTAAATGTTCCAATTTAATTTTCACCCATCTCCCCAACACCATAGCTGGTTCTGTGCCTTTTCAAGGCCTTTGGTTCCTTAGAGGTCTGTAACTTAACAGTAAACATGGATGCCACTGGGGGGTCAGGTCAAAGCCTAGAGAACTTTCCCCCATAGCCCTGTAGGAGTTCCATTTCAACTGCCAGTGTAAAATAAAAAGATTACTAAATAGGAAATACTTTGGTTGTACTGTTGAGAATTATTTGAGTAGATTAAAATGAAAATGTTATAAAACTTGACACACTACCAAGAGAAGAGCTTTGGGTCTGGAACTGATTCCTATTTGTCTAGTCAGTCTTGTTTTAAACATAATCCCTTCAACAAAAAAGCCATCTGTGGGATTAAAAGAAACAAAGTAATGATCCTTTTATTATTTCCTTGGGCATATAACTTAAAAACTCTAGAACTTTTAGCACTAAAAGCTCAAGAATTCAATATTCATTAACATTGAGTAAACTAACCTTGGAACATTGGTATAGTTTAAGGTTTTTGAATGACTGTACCCTTGGAAATGAAGCAGTGCTACACTACAGGGTAGATTGGGTAAATTCTATATTTGTATGTTTACAGATGTAAATATAAAACAAATGTACTTTTACCTTTTATTTCTAACCCTGTGTGTTAGGGCAGTTGCATGCTCTCCAGCCTTTTTGGATTTCATTGTTAAGCTGTGAATTTGTATTCAATAATAATTTAGAACAAGCATCTTTATCTTTCATTGCTTTACATGTTAGACATTTCTCCTATCAGATTCAAATTAGATAGTTAATAGAACACCCTTTAAATCACACAAGCCAATTATGTCTCACTACTCTAAATGGCTGCACTCTGTTCTCTCAGTGTTAGAGACTATAGTTAAAATGATTACCAGTGAAAAAGGCAGATATTTATTTTTAATAGATAGTAGTTGTGGAAACTGATTGTAAAATTTTGACCTCTCTTCAAAACAGATGCATAGAAGTAGTCATTCATCCACTTACATGTATATCTTTTACTCAGTGTTTTGAACAGCTTTTGGGACTTAGGATGTTTTCTCACAGAAACAATAGTCAGGTTCCCTGTCACACACTACTACTGAAGCTCAGCTGGAAACCTAATCCACTTAACCATGAATGTACTTGTGATACGGTTGATAAGTTACTTGTAGATCATGGCCAGCATTTGTAATGTCACTCTAAGGAAATTATGTGTGGAGCCAGACACATACTGAAGTGTATGCCTCTGTGGTTAGGTATGGGAAATACAAGGAAAGATTCTGCAAAGGAGGGAGGTAATAAATGCACAGCTACGAAACCTGGTTATCACTGTTATGAAAGTATATGAAGTAAGTTAGTTTTTGTTGTTAATGTGAAAGCAAAATTGTATGCTAATTTATTTCAGTATCTTGGCTTTATTTATGATCTGCTAATGTGATTTATTCATTCAAAAATATTTTTTCCATTTAAAACTAATTTATAAAGTATGTACTCCTAGCAACACTTAAAATCTTTGAGAAGTATGTGGAAATATTTTCACTATTCATGACAAACTTCTGACTTAGATACTGATTTTAATTCCAGTATCTTCTCTAAATATTTATGATAAAAATGCGTTATTTTTTTAGAGCTCGATGAGATTTGTGATGTGATACTATTCAAGTACCTGAATTGCACCCCTTGACCAGTCAGTCCTCCACAAACCTCAGTTGTTGGTTAGCTCACTAACTGAACACAAACTAGTCAAACATTTCAGCCTTATAATAGTTAACATGGTAAGCCTTAGCAGTAAAAAGTCATCCTTCCTAAAAAGACTAGATGTTCTCAAGAAATGGGGTTAGGCTGGGGGTACTATAATCTAAATCATGAGCATTTTGTACACTGCGTACCCAAGGCAAATCATGCAACTGAGTGCGGTCTGGCCCGGCTCCTTGAGAGAGCATATCTGCACACCTGCAGTAGGGGCACTGTGTTTTGAATGGATAGCGTTACTCTTCCCTGTCAACAGTCCGAGAGCTGTCTAGTGTTGATCTGACTAGGCGCTCCCTCTGCTTCTTCCATCCCTACAGTAAATGAAAGAACCACAGGGGAACGAATGTACTCAATAGCTAACCTCCCCAAGGAAAACCATTCTGTATTCTGCTATTTTGGTACCTCTTTCATGTGTACTCTGAATCAGGGTTTTTGTATAAGAAATCCTTTAGAATCAGCAAAAGTTGGGATGATCCAGTCTTGATTTGCAAAATTAAAACAAAACACCTAAATGTCAATTATCACTACAGATGAGAACTCATCTTTTACAGTATAGTTAATAGACTGGTTCTGAGGACTCTTTAAATAGAAAAAACTCAAAAGTACCAATTAATTGGGAAAATCAGAAGGCCCTTTCTGAATTCCCCATTTTAAAGATTTACATTATATGAAATGACAGCTACTAAACTGGTTGGTATTCTATTAGGAAATAGCTCCTAAAGATGTAGTCTTGTCTCATAGTTGTTGCACTATGAACTATTGAAAGTGTAAACAAGTTCTTCTCTGTACAGAAAGGGAACATTGTGTTACTTAATGAATTGATTTAGACGGAGCATTTGTTGCCCACTGTAATTCCAGCCATCCACAAGACTGTGTTGTGAGGAGGCAATAGCACACAGGAAGATGAACTCTCCTGGACTGTTTACCCCCTTTTCTTTGGCTGTATAAGCTGTTCTTAATAAAGTTTTATGTTCTTTTTGAAGGTTCTTTGTGAGGTTTATTTTTGTGATTCTGATTCAATGAGTACAGGGTAGAAGGCAGAGGATTAGGGGACCAAGACGGAAGCAAAGTACTGGAAGTATTCAAAGAAGTAATAGAAAATGCTGAAGGAGATTACTGTCAGTGACAAAATCCAAGTGTCAGAATTCCCTGGAGTTGTTACTAGACCATAGATGGCTGGGCCCCACCTGCAGAGCTTCTGCCTCAGTAAGTCTGTGGTCAGGTCTCGTGGTTTACTTTTCTGCTACTTGTTGGTAACGCTCATGTCCACACTCAAGTTTAAAATAATGGAAAGATAGCCAACAGACTGGGAGATCTTTACCAGCAATATATCCAACAAGGGCCTAATATCCAAAATACACAAGGAGCTCAAAAAATTAACACCTTCCCCCAAAAAACCTAATATATCAATAAATGGACAAAGGAGCTAGAGAGATGTCTCAACAGTGGTAAATAGACCCATGCTCAACATCCCTGGCCACAAAAGAAATGCAAATCAATACAACTTTGAGATTTCTGCTTATGTGGTGCTGAGGAATCGAACCCTGGGCCTGATGCATGCAAGGCAAGTGATCTACCACTGAGCCACCTTCCCAGCCCTAGTTTGGATATTCTTCAAAAAACTAACTATTTACAGTAGCCAAGCTATAGAACCCCAGATGCTCTATAATAGAAGTGTGGTACATATACACAGTGGAATTTTACTCATTCATTTACAACATTTACAGGGAATAGATGGGCACAGAACACATCATGCTAAGTGAAGCCAAGCTAAGCTCAGAGACAAACTGCATGAAGCTAGATCTAAAATAAAACTGGCATAACATACAGGACTGTAGGCATTTACACATTCACACACACAGAGACTAAAGGATACTCTTAGGGGAGGGACCCTAAGGCCTAACTCCTCTGAACATTTCAAGTACTTTCTTTTGGTGCCAGTCCAGGGGCTTGAATTCAGGATCCAGGTACTATCCCTGAGCTGTTTTGCTCTAAGGCTTGTGTTCTAACACTTAAGCCATGCCTCAACTTTGGGCTTTTTACTGGTTATTTGGAGATATGAGTCTCATGGACTTTCCTGCCCAGGTCAACTTTGGACTGTGTTCCTCAGGACTGTGTTCCTGAGTAGCTAGAATTACAGGAGTGAGTCTTTCTAAACCCCTGAGTAGAGTGGCATGAACCTGCCATTCCAAGCTACAGGAGAGGCTGAGATTGGGAGGGCAGAAAAGTTTGCAAGACTGACTCTACAGTTTTATCTGAACACAGCTGCACATTCTTGTGATCCCAGTGACTAAAGGCAGACTAAAAGTAGTGGTGGCTCAGGTGTGTACCAGGGTGGGAAGCAAGGCCCTATCCTAAAAAATAAGCAATGTAAATCAGGACTGGAAGCATAAATCAGTGGTACATACTGTGCCAGCCATCAAATGTGAGTTCTTGAGCTCAAACCCAGTACTACAACATACTATTTGACTAAAGCTTACTTTTAAACTAGTGGATTTCTCTAAGCCATTATTTAGGCCAGAGGCCTAAATAGCTGCAGCTGGGAACATGTTAGAAGTGCAACTTTTGGGGATGCATGCAGACCTATGGAACCCAAAAATCCAAGGTTGGGTATATGCGTCTTTTTAACAACTCTTCAGGTAATTATGGTGAAATCTTAGTTCTACACACCCAGTCATGATCCAAAGTGATTGCACAGTTCCCCTCCTGTTTATGAATAAAGGCAGATCTAGGCAGTCTTTATCAGCTGACTGGAATTGGAATAGAAATCAAGTTACATTTCTTTGCTGTCAAGTTTGATGGGTTGCTCACACTTTGAAAACCAGCGAATCTATTGACCACTAAACTCTTGTTTCTTAAGAATACTGCTGGAATTCTTCCTCAGCTTTTTAGCAGTTTATGAACCTAGGCTGTCAGTATGAATATCAATGAGTATGGCCCAGCTCTTGCACTAGTTACTATTTCGCATCATAAAATTATATGACCAACTGGTAACCAGTTGTTTTTCAACCATTCAGTTTGCAAGCCCTAAAGAAGTTTAAGCTTAAAATTTTCAAGCAGCAAAGAAGCCTGGAAACAGTAAATAACTCATTTGAAGAGATTTTATTTTTTTGCCAGTCCTGGGGTTTGAACTCAGGGCCTGGGTACTGTCTCTGAGCTACTTTTTGCTCAAAGCTAGTGCTCTACCACTCAGCCATAATACCATAGCTTTTTCTGAGTGATTTATTAGAGATAAGAGTCTGACAGACTTTCCCACCCTGGCTGGCTTTGAACTGCAATCCTCAGACATCAGCCTCTTGAATAGCTAGGATTACAGGCATGAGCCACCTGCGCCTAATATTTAGAGATTTTTAAGCTATGCACCAATGGCTCCAGTAATTGTATCTACTCAAGAGGCAGAGATTTGAGAATCCCAGTTTAAAACCTGCTCAGGCAGGGAAGTTGTGAGACTTACCTCCAATTAACCAGCAAAAGCCAGAAGTAGAGCTATATTTTAAATGGTTAGAGCCTCAGTCTTCAACAAAAAAGTTAAGGGACATTGCTCAGGTCCTGAGTTCAAATCCTAGAGCTCAAACCCCATTACTGGCACAATTTTTTTTTTAAATAAACATTTTTTTAAATGTATTTTTCTTCTTTTTGCTCAATTCTACTACTGAGATAACTTTATATAAACTTATCCATTTTATTATTTTTAATTGCTAATTATAAATGTATCACCTTAAATACAATTTGTGTTAAGAATATTTAATACCTCTTCAGCTATCTTGAAATATACATTATTACTGACCTCACTATACAATAGATCATGACAATTTACTCTTCCTAACTGAAACTCTGCACCTTTCCACCACTGTCTTCCCCTGCCTGCTGTGTCCCCAAGCCTCTGGTAATGGCAGTTCAACTGCTCTAAATCCCCATGTGATTTAGAATTTGTCTCTCTCTGCCTTAAAAAGAATAAGATCTCCATTTGTGCATTAGTAGGCTGTTTATACATCTTGGTTACTGTAAATAATACTTCAATAAACATGGGATAAATAGGTTTTATTTATATAAATTTTACTATAGTTATGTGCATGGACATAGTTGGCCCCTTTTCTGAATTAGCAATAAAATTACTGACATATGGAAGAACCCTTCAGGGGTAAAAGACATTTTCAGTAAAGTCTCAATTTCCTTTTGGAAGAAAATGACATCAATAATGGAAACTGCAAAAACATAAGGAGAAGAAAATAATAATATTCAACATCCACCTATCCTTTGCTATATTTTTTGGTCCTCATAACCACCTCTGGGGTTTTAGTTCTTCAATCAAATGATACATGCTCCCCATAAATACTTAGGGCTGCCAGGAAGTTTGTCCTTGGACTGAGTTTCCATAAATCTAAAGAGTAAAAGTACAAAAGGTTGTTTACTAACTTTAGTTTCAGGAATTAGACTAGATGTTTCTTTTTTTCAAAGTTTCCTCTTCACAGAGAAGATAAGAAATTTCTGAAGTCCGCCTTTGGAATATCTTGGGATTCGCTTTGACTAAGCAGCATTTTCAGTTGAGAGAAGTGTTTCTTTCTTTTGTTCATATTCCTTGTGGAGCAAATGGGTGTTGACTGTCCAGATACAGGTGTTCTGAAAAGACAAGATAAAATAAAAACCTCTTAGTTATATTAACATGAAAAAATACTCTTCTTGCTTACATTACTACTAGTATTGCCACCATTTTATGGTTATATTAAAAGCTGCTAATCAGAGCTGTACTTTAGGAAGATCACCAGACTAACAGGCCATAAAACTAGAAGTTGAAAGACAAACTAGAAAGCAACAGCAGTAGTCCTGACAGAAGGTGAATAAGGCCCTGAACCAGGACAGCAACAGTAGGCAAGAAAGGAGAATAGGTGGAAGGAGATGGACAGAAAAAATGGAAGGCGAATGAAAAAGAAACAAGGACAAGGCGGCAGAAATGTTCGTTCATACATAAGGAACATAGAGGAGAATGGACACGTTTGAATGGTTACTTTGTAGGTAGCTAGGACTATGCCCAGGGAAAGACTGAAATAGCAATGTACCAGTATGTCATAATGCACTGAGACTAGAGCTGAAGATCTGGGAGTGTGTGGTATCAGAGAAGGGGTATGGAGGAAAAAGGAGGCCCAGGGAGGAAAAAGGAGGCCAAGGACAGAACTGCATAGAATATTTAGGAATACATACTCAACAGAGAATATTAAAAAATGACAAAATACCTGAAAGTCAATGCTGGGCTTTTGCTTGTAGAACCAGTTACACCATGATTTTGGTTTGCAGAATGTGGAGTTTTCTCTAGCCCCTTCAGGCTGACTTTACTGGCAGGTGTAGTAGGATCGCTCTTCAATGCTGACAGAAAGCTTCTACTTTTACCAGGATGCTTAACTGTTCTATTGCATGTTTTGCAAGTAATCAACTAAAGAAGAAATATCAGTCCTGTGAGTTCTCTTTTAATTTAATCCAATGACCACATGTTCTCTGAGTTCTCATGTCAGGGTATTTCAAGGTAAGTTAACCTATTGGAGTATTACATTCTAGCAGCAGGAATAAGTTAAGTTAAAAATTAGAAATAGCTGGGTGCTGGTGGTTCATGCCTGTAATCCTAGCTATTCAGGAGGCTGAGATCTGAGGATCACAGCCCAGGCAAGGAAAGTGAGACTCATCTCCAATTAACCACCAGAAAAACTGGAAGTAGCACTGTGGCTCAAGTGGTACAGTACTCTCCTTGAGCAAAAGAGCTCAGGGCCAGTGCCCAAGCCCAGAGTCCAAGCCCCACAACTGACCCCCCCCAAAAAAAAATCAAATATCTTAAATATACATACTTTTTAGAAAATACAATGTGTAGAATGGGAACTTCTTTGTACAACTACTTAAAGATATTAAAGATAATAAAAATACAATGGACTTTACTTGCTGAACATAAAATATTTGGGGGAAATCAAGGGATGAAACCAGGAAGATGCCCATTAACATGTAGATGTGCTTTTTAACAGCAGTTGCAGGTAAACTGTTAAGCTTTTTCCTAATACAACATGGAGAAGATCACTGCAAATTTAAGTCGTCCCATCAAATCCTAAGTGAATCTGTAAATATAGGTAAATTTATAAACCAAACAATATAGCATATTCACATTACCTTTCTATCCTTAGCTCTAGAAATTTGACTTTGTTTGATTCGTTTTTAAGAAATGATTAATTTCCAAAATGTGGCATATAGCACAAGTGGAGAACACTAACATGCACGAAGCCCTGGGTTCAATCCCCAGTATTGGAGGAAAAAAAAAAAGATAATAGAAAAAAAGAGAAGAAAACAAAAATGAAAAGAAAACAAATGGTCCAATTTTTAGCTAAATGCCTGCCTTCTATGTATCACATTAAACCCAGAATCTAGCCCATGAATTCACATGAACTGGTTTGGGTAAGGTTTTCATGGGAGATCTGGGTCTGGAAGTGTGGTTCAAGTAGTAAACTGCCTGTCTAGCAAGCACATAGCTGTGGGGTTTTTTTGTTTTTTTTTCTTCAATAGTGAAAAAAAAAAAGCAAAGCAAATGGAAGCCCTGTATACTGCATATATCAAAGGCCTATATTGCTTTGTATTTTTTAGAAAGAGACTGTAAGTTTAAATAAATGAGAAGAATGACCCCTAGCACCATAGTACAACTATGTGAACAACAGGATCATTGACTTAGAAATAAAATTGAGTGATAACTGCAATTCTGGTTGTCATACTGGTTAGCTCATCAAATTTTTGGAAACAGCGCTTCTCAAGAGTTAATAATGTTTCATTTTAACAGCGCTTCTCAAGAGTTAATAATGTTTCATTTTAGGCAATAATGTTTCATTTTAGGCAAAAAACAAAAACAAGCTATACTATTAATGAAGAACTAATCAGCAGAAAAAGGTTTTAAAGGTTTTAGGTGTGTATTTTGATCAACTAAACGTACTACTATAATGAGTGTCAGTGGTTCGCATCTGTAATTCTAGTTACTCAGGAGACTAGATGTGGGGATCATGATGCAAAGCCGGCCCAGGCAGTGAGTACATGAGACTCTTATCTCCAGTTAAGCACAGAAAAAGCTGGAAGTGGTGCTGTACTCAAGCACAGCCTTGAACAAAAGGAGCTCAGGGATAGTGCCAAGTTGAGTTCAATCCCCAGAACTGGCAAAAATAATTAATAAATTAATAAACAAAAGTAATACATTACCATGAATCTACATTGTAGTCAGGTTGGTTCTTGAAGAAATTTGTTTTTGTTGTTGTTGTTTCTGGCCTTAGGGCTTTTTACTCAGTGCTGAGTGCTGTCCCTGAGCTTTTGTGCTCAAGGTCAGTGCTCTGCCACTTGAGCCACAGCTCCACTTCCAGCTTTTTCGGTAGTTTATTATAAGTAAGAGTCTCATGGACTTTTCAGCCCAGACTGGCTTTAAACTGTGACCCTCAGATCTACTTCCTGAGCTTTAAACTGTGACCCTCAGATCTACTTCCTGAGTTGCTAGCATTACAGGTGTGAGCCTTTAGTGCCTAGCCAGAAATTTTATATATATACATATATTATAGAACCGGTAACTTACCAATACACTTTTGGAATCCTTGTACTTCTTTAGAATTTTTGCTTCTTTGAAACTGAGTGCATAATTTCTTGCTTGTTGATTAAGAAGTTTCTGTATTTTGGGTGTCAATTTGGCCTTGGGTTTGAGGCGCACTCGAGCATTATCCAGAACCAACAACTGGAAACAGTATGGACACGTTCCTTCAAAGGTGCTATTATCTAAAATTATATAAATGGAACCCACATTTAGCATATCAGAGTATTGTTACACATATACAACAAAATGGTACAGTATGAAAAATATTGGTATTTAATATAAGCAGATATGGATTCTCTTTACAAGCTCAAAATATGAAAATCCATTCATTCCTTTCAGCAACAGATAAGGCAGTTCTCCAACTTTTAGCAACCTGATTCATCACTTGTCACTAAGTGAAAACAGGCTATTGCCCTTCACCAATTTTACCAACATTTTTACCATTAAAAAATTTGCAATGAAATTTTCCTTTTCTTTTGAAACAATTAGCACAATAAATATGTATTGAGTACCTACTGCTAAGCACTGTGCTGAGCTTGAGAGATACAAGAGGCACTGCAAAAGTATGAAAGATGTTTGTAATTCAGCATCACCAAATACAGATTTCATTCATACTGAGTGAATATTCATATTCACTGTTTGGGGTACTGGAGATATATCAGTTTACAAAAGACAGTTTGGAAGGCAGACTATAACACCAGATGCTAAGTGCTAGGATGAGAAAGTAAAATAGGCCAGTGAGGACAGGATACGATGGTGTAGTTTTCAGTATGGTTGCTAGGAAAGGCTACCTTGGATGATATTTATAGGGTGAAATCAAAGCAGGTATGTAACACAAGTGTTCCAAACAGAGAAACAGAACAAGAAGACTGGATGGAGTTAAGGTTGAGTTTACTACTGAGAGTAGGTCTGGAGGTTATTAGAGCCTGTGCTGTAGGGCAACAATCTTGTTTTCAAAAACTTACACTTTAACCATGACTTGGAAAGCCATTTATGGCAGAGAAGAGCCATGAGCTAGCCTTTTTTTGTTTGTTTGTTTTAAAGTTGTTAGTATTAGGCTTGAACACAGGGCCCCAGCGTTATCTCTTCCTAAGGTTTTTTGCTTAAGGCTGGCATTCTCTCACAGTAGCCACAACTCATACACTGCTCTAGGCTTTGATTTTTTTTTTTTTCAGGACTCCTCTGGCTGCTGGCTTGAGACCAAACTACAGGAATGCCTGAGAGCTGTTGGCAGTAATCTGGGAGAAAGTGGGTAAATTGCAAGACTTAGGTTGGAAGCAATGGATGCAGTTGGAAATATTTTAAATCCAACATGATTTGCTGGCATATTGGCTTAGGGGGTGGGACCGGGGAGGTCTGTTAAGAGTCAAGATGGGCCCCAAAGTGTTTGCACTGGATTACTGCAAGGATGGGGGTTGCCATTTTCTGAAAGGAGAAGAACTAGAGGTAACGCTCGTTTTTGGACAAAGTTTGGAATGACTATTGGTTATTCAAAAGAAGCAGTCAGGAGTTTGAATGTGAGTGTAAGTGTAGGCTGGAATTCGAGAGGCCTTTGTACACAGTATGTAAATATCCTGAGATGAAAAACTGCCAACCAGAAAGTGAGTGTAACTAGGAAAAATGTCCAAGGGCTGATCTGGAGAAGTAAAACCCATGGAGAAGCACCAGCTTAAGACGTGAGGGTGCGCTGATCTGAACGCCAAATGGAAACTATTTCTAGAGGACCGATCAACGTGTCAAATGCAAGATGAGCCAACATGGAGTACAGAATTTGAACTTTTCCATAAACCTGAGAAGCCCGAGGGCCGTGCTACTATTTGTTTTGTCCCTCTCGGATCACTGTGAACAGTGGCAGAATGGAGGCGGGCGCGGCGCCAGGGCGGGAGGCCCAGCGGGGGCCTCACCCGGAGGGGAGCGGGAGGACCAGCGGGAGGACCAGCGGGGGCCTTACCGTGAGCGGAGCGGGAGGACCAGCGGGAGGACCAGCGGGGGCCTTACCGTGAGCGGAGCGGGAGGACCAGCGGGGGCCTTACCGTGAGCGGAGCGGGAGGCCCAGCGGGAGGACCAGCGGGGGCCTCACCCGGAGGGGAGCGGGAGGACCAGCGGGGGCCTCACCCGGAGGGGAGCGGGAGGACCAGCGGGGGCCTCACCCGGAGGGGAGCGGGAGGACCAGCGGGGGACTTACCGTGAGCAGAGCTGTAGGCCCAGCTGTAAGAGAAGACGGACTGGTGAGGGGCCTAGGAACCTCCGCGCCGCTCCCCGCCCGCCTCCCCTCCGCCCTGTCTTACAGGAGGTAGCGGGCCTGGCCCGGGCAGCTCTCGCGTAGATTCCACGCCGCCGCCTCCAGGTAGTACTTCTGCCTCATCGCGGCTAAGCGACCGGAGTTCCGGAAGTCGGCTCCTGGGGACCGCGGGAGTCGGCTTCCGGGAGACTCAGGAAATCCGCTTCCCGCAATCGCCAACGTCGTCCCACAGGAAACACGCACCTCCGCTAATGGGTTCCGGTGTCCTTCGAGCCACGGCTGACGTACAGGTGTGCGCAGCCACAACGTCGCCTTGGTGTTTCTAGCGGTCTAGGTCTTCTGTTCTGTTTTTAAACTTGAGAGAATCAGCCAGCAGCCCTTCCGCCTTACTACCCTCCACCTTTGCCCCTCTCCTCCCTCTCCTTCCCACTTCTCTCCTTTTCTGTCTTCCTTCTTTCCCTATCTTCTCCAGGGTCCCCATGTAGCTGCTGGCCTTGAACTTATTACATTGCCCAAACTACCCTTGAACTCTTTATCTGCCTGTTTCATCCTCTTTAGTGCAGGGATTACAGGCATGTGCCACTTAGGCCAGAAAAAAAAGTAAAAACATAGTTGCATCTGTTCAGAAAGAGAAAGATGCATGCATTCCTCTGCCTCCTAGCACATTTCCCTTTAGCTCTTCTCTTTCTTGAGAGATGTAAGGGTTGCTGAGAGGAGACCACCATCTGGTTCAGGCAGAAAAGAGTTTCTTGGGAATGTACTCTAGAGAAGGGTGTAGCCTGTATCAGCTTGCACTAATGGCAGAGAGAGATTCCATAGGGAAGGGAGATAAGGAGATGTGGCCTTTGCTGATGAGGAAGTGATCTCAGAGCTTGAGGGGCCTGCCACTACCCCAAGCTGCACAGGGACCTGGGTTACAGGTGCTGGGCGGAGACCTCTAGGGAGGGCCACATGCGGTCTTGCACTGAGAGAGAACATTGCACTGAGAGAGAACAAAGAGAAGGGGTCTATGTGAGGTCTCACATGGAGAGAAAACAAAAAGAAGAGGCCATTTTCCCAGGTAGACCTAACAAGCACCACAGTCCTGTGTCCAGATGCTTGCTCCACAGCTCTTCTTGAACTGCATTTTGTCTTGTCAGTCCTATTGTGACCCAGCTTCAGGTTTTTCTTCACTTGGGCGTTGCAGTCTTCTGTCTTAGCATCCCCACCCATCACTGCTGATACCTCATGCCCCCTACTTGCTCCTGGTCTGCCTGAGGCTTCTGCTCGCTTTTCACCAGCAGCAAACCAGACTCCACTTTCTTCCCTGCACCAACATATCCACTCTCTTCCCTTGCCTTTATCCTTATCATGGCATACCACATTGTTTTCTTGAGTCCCCCCTTACTCTCTCAGTCCATTCTCAGTAAAAGAGAGTTGCCTTCTTATTTTTTTACCCCAGTCCTGGGGCTTGAACTCAGGGCCTGGGTGTTTATGCACACCCCCACCATGTGTCAGCCACACAGGCTTGGCAGGCACAGGGGTGAAAGTTAACAGAGAGAGTGTGCTGGTGGGGGGGCGATGATCAAGGAGAATGCCTGTATGGAACCTCTGACCATCCACCATTGTGTTGCAGAAATTGCCCAGATCTCTGACAGTATTGTGAGGTGACAAGACTTGATTGAAATACAAAAAAAAAAAAAAGAGATTTTGGTTTTATGAATGTAAAGGAAGTCTGGTGAGAACTTGGAGAGGTCCATAAGAACATAGAGGGAAGAGTCCATGAGGTGGTTGAAGGGAGGAGTCCCCGCTGGGAGGTGTTGCAGCCGTTCTCAAGCTTTTTAGTTATTTTTTTTTGGGGGGGTCCGGTCGTGGGGCCTGAACTCTGTGCCTGGGCGCTGTCCCTCAGCTCTTCACCTCAAGGCTAGCGCTCTACCACTTGAGCCACAGCGCCACTTCTGGCTTTTTTCTTTTTTGTTTATGTGGTGCTGAGGAATCGAACCCAGGGCCTCAGGCATGCAAGGCAAGCGCTCTACCACTGAGCCACCTTCCAAGCCCAGTTTTTATTTCTTGTTGGGGTGGACTGAGAAATAAAATGGGAATGGGAGTAGATGGGTCAATGTGGGTGAAGCGGTGGAAGCTGTCTACCAAACAGATAAAAATGTATTGGGAGTCTCATTGGGATGCTGAATTACCCCTCTCAATTTATCAGTTGGACAGGCTTGTGGGAAGTCCAGCCAAGGCTATGGAGGAGGTAGAAGACCACATCATCTCTAAGAGTCTGGTGGGGGTGATCAGGCTGGTAATTTCACCCTGGGTTGGAGCAAGGTACAACTTAGTGATGAACAGGTTTTTGATTAAGGTATTTAAATTTCTATTTGGGACAGGTCAGAGAGGGAGAAAGAAATGTGAACATGAACAATGTCTAGTGCCAGCCACCTGCTGAAGAAAAAAGAGGTGACCTGGTGCCACCGCTGATGATTGATGGGCAGTGAAGGACGGGTGTGAGGTAGAGAAAGAAGCAGTGGTGAAGGATTGGAGGGAGTAGAAGAAAAAGGTGGAGGTTGATAGGGTGGTGGAGATTGAGATGCAGAGTTGGGTGGGGAACATGGAGGAAGGAGAGTGGTCAGCAGGGTGGAATGGCAGGTCTGCATCAGGGAGAGGGGCAGAAAAAAATGCCTGAGCCTGATTTCTCCAGCCTTGCCACTTCGGTGACAGAAGTCATCCAGGTCTGTGAGGACATTAAATGTGAAGGTACCATTCTTGGGCCACTGAGACCCATTGGGTATTGAGGCCATGCCACATTACAATAGAAAATGAGCCTCTTGGGTTTTATGGAGATTAGCCAAGATACAGCCCAAAGGGATATTTCCAGGAGGTTTAGGTTGAGAGGTACCCATTTTAGGCAGAGGGTGGCAGTTTAGATCCTGGTAAAGGAACTTTCTTTAGCTCTGTGCGTCCCCAGGAGCACAGTAGAAATCCTAGTATAGTAGGACAATGCCTCAAGGGGTCATCACCCCATGAGACAAGTCAACAGGGGCATTCCCCAGCCAGGTGCCTGGTCTTTCAAGAACTAAACAAAAGTAGAGGTGGGTCGGCCTCTAGAGACAGGAGGTTAATGCTCACCCTTGCAGATCTGATCATGGGCAGGAGGAAGTCTGAAATGGCTGGCAGAGGAGAGTAAAGGTCGCTTGCTCAGAGAAGATTTGGGAGGAGGGCCTGGGGCCAATCATCTCCTATAGGGGGATCTTCCAAACCCAAACCACTCTTCCCAGATGTAAGAAATGAGAGGCAAGCAATCAATACAGCCTCGGGGCTTTATCAGAGGATAGACCTGCCCGGCTGCTCCAAGTTGTAATGAATGCCATAGAGACATGTACAGGTGGAATTTAAACAGAATTTTAGGGGGCAGTCACATGGGTCACATACATGTATGGTGAGAATTCTGGGGGAAGAGTCAGTTCCTGAGTAGAAAGTGTTATGCAAGTGTTACATGGGCTACAGGAACTGGGGGAAGGGAGTATAACTATTGCAATTGGGGCGTGAATTTGTATGCTACATCGGGAAAACAATAAAGCATCTGGGATTTTTGTAAAGAGGTGGGGACACAGGGTGGTAACTTAATCTGCAAGCTGATTCTGAGACCTTAGATCCTGGAGCTGCTTTTGCTCAAGGCTAGCACTCTACCACTTGAGCCACAGCTCCACTTCTGGCCTTTTCTGTGCTTAATCGGAGATAAAGATCTCATAGCTGGGCACCGCTGGCTCACTCCTGTAATCCTGGCTACTCAGGAGGCTGAGATCTGAGGATCAAAATTCAAAGCCAGCTGAGGCAGGAAAGTCCTTGAGACTCTTATCTCTAACCATCTGAAAACTGAAAGTGGTGCTGTGGCTCCAGTGGTGGAGCTCTTACCTTGAGCTGAAGAGCTCAAGGACTACGCCCAGGCCCAGAGTTAAAGCCTCACAACGAACAAACAAAAACAAAAACACAAATACAAACCAAAACAAAACAAAGACTCATAGACTTTCCTGCAAACCTCCTGAATAGCAAGGATTCTGTAATCCTTGGGTCATTAACGCCTGGTCGAAGAGTTGCCTTCTTAAAAGGTACAGTAAATCTTTTTATGGACATAGAATGTTCTAACTCAAAGCCTTCTCAAGTTCTCCATTGCTCTTAGAATACCAGCTTTATTATACAAGGGCCTTTCTGGCCTTATGGCTGTTTCCCTCTCAAACCTCTCCTTGTCTCTCCTGCTTACCTTTCCTTGCCCACTTACTTGCCCACTGTCTTGCTACATGGCTTTCTCCTTGTCTTTCAGAAAGTTTTCAGACTTACCCTAGAGCCTTTGTTGTTCTCTGCTTCATAGGAGGACCCTTCCAATGACTGCCTTTTCTCACCAGAGCCTTCCTTGACTATCAACATGAAGAATTTCTCCCCACTCATGCCCATTAACTCACTCTGCCATCACTGGCTTTTGTTGGTGTCATATGTTAAACCAAATTTGACCTGATGTTGTCTCTGTGCTTGAGTCCTTATGTAATGAACTGTAACTAAATTAGTGTACTAAGAGCTTGTTCTGAGCCTATTTTCATATCAAATAGTTGAATTTCAACCAATTATGGAGGCTGAGCCTCAGCCAATCACAGATGGGCAGATGATCAGGCCAAGTTCAAATAAGGCAAACTCTGAGCTGTAAATGATGGAGCTACCTCTGTATTCCACTTTCATTTTCTGCAAATAAATACTATCTGCCCACATTGCAGGCTGAAACTCTCTGAACCTGTTCTGGCTTTTGAGGGTTGCCTGATTTGGGAATCATTCTTTGTTCACTTTGTCTAGTTTCTTTTGACACATAGTAGCCTTTGTATTCAAAATTGCCTTATTCATTGCTTACTTACTCCCATTCTCAATGAAATGATGGCAGAAAGATTTGGTGTATCCTGTTTGCTGTTTCATGTGTGGTTCCACAGTCTGGCAGAGAGAGAAGACGCTCAGGATTATGCTAAATGCTTTAGTTCTTTCTTTATTGTGAAAATACGGTACAGAGGGGTTACAATTACCTGGGCAAGATACTATGTTTCAGTTCTTATCAGCACTGTCCCAGCGGAGGAGGCTGAGGCTCAGAGACACACAGTCATGCAGCTGGTATGAGACTTGACTTAGCTTGCTTTGGCTCCAAAGTTCCTATCTTTC